TTTCTCCTGCCGGTCCCGAGGGTTCCTTGGATCAAGCGGGTTGGCTACTGCCTTCCCGTGATCGACAAGGGTCCCCTCTTGGTCTGTCACCTCTACAGGGCGACTTTTGGTCCTTTTTGGACCCCCAGCAGAAAGAAATCGGGTGCGAGAATCAGAGCCCTGTTTCCCTGCGCCTGCCTTGCCGCAGCAACGAAACCCAGGGTGCAACTGATGCTTGATCAACCCTGCCCTGGTCAAGAAACTGGGCATGAGACTCAAACGGCTTAAAGCGTCCATAGCTTTTTGCCAGCTAGACGGCTCAGTGGTGGGGGGCAGCGACATTTGTTACCGAACCAATATAGAGGAGGATGGGTATATACACAGAGACCCTGAGCTTCATTGTAGCCCTGTCATAGTTCCGACAGATGAAACTCTTCAAAAGAACTTCGAGGCATTGTTTACCTTAAAGAATCTTTTATTCGAGAAACAAAGTATCGGCACTACATAGTCGAAACCAAAAACTAAATTCCCCTCCCCTGGATACAAAGTAACAAACCACAATTCCCTCCTCCAATAAACAGTCATAAATCACATTCCCCAAGTAGCTTGAAGCGCGGGCTTTCTCCCCAGCTCTCCAAAACTCTATCAACTCTGGGCCCAATGACCTTGGGTTCCCAAGGCTGAGTTACTATTATTATGACTAGCTGGACTCTCATCCACATTCCCCCTCCCAGCATCAACTAACTCTAAAAGCAATAGAAAAAAATGGCTGCATTTCCATCTGTTGTCAAAGCAAGAACATCCGATGTTAGCAGCGTTGACATAGCCCCTGGAATGGAAAGGCCACTTGTGTTAGGACTGTCTTGGCTCCAGAAATGGAACCTCTTTGTGAACTGGAGGAGGGGGCTGCTAAAAATCAGACTTGCTGACTGTGAACGGGGAGAGGAAAAGGGCTGTCAAAAACCTGCCCCAAAGTTGCAGCAGGCGAAACAGAAAAGGGAGTAGCTGCCAAAGATTGGCTCCAGTTTAACCCTCAGATCCCCAAGGAGTGCTGATACTTATGGCATGGCTTCACTGAGAAGGGGTCAGATGCACTCCCACCCCACTAGCCGACTGACTGTGTCACAGAAATCCTATTGGGGTCAAACTACCCAAACCTAAACTGTATTCCATGACCCCTAAGGAATTGGAAGAATTGCGGACTTTTATAAACAAAAACCTGAACCATGGATTGATCCTCACTCAGTAGTGCACCTCCTGCAACTTGGTGAAGACCTTCCCCTTGGCCAAATAACAAGCCAAATATGTTCTTCAGGAGTGCAGCCTAGAGCTATGGTGGTGCAGTGGTACTGCAGGCTACTTCTGCTGCCTGCTGGCTGCCTGCAGTTCAGCAGTTAGATTCTCACCAGCTCAAGGTTGACTCAGCCTTCCATCCTTCCGAGGTCGGTAAAATGAGGACACAGATTGTTGGAGGCAATATGCTGACTCTGTAAATTCCTTAGAGAGGGCTGTAGAGCACTGTGAAGCGGTATATAAGTCTAAGTGCTATTGCTATGATGGAAAGTGGGTAAACATTTTCTATACACAGAGCGTTAAGCCCATAATAGTCCATGCACAGATTAAGGAACCCAACCTTCTTTTCCCTAATCAGTACTGGGGCAACCACCCTTGGTCTGGCGGGTTGGATGAACCCATGCTTCAGGTTTTTGTCTATAAAAGTCCACAATTCCTCACTGAAGACATCCCATAAGTCCCAGTACTCTTTGGGGATCCGAGGATCACCTTGGGGCCACTCTTTGGCAGTTGCTCCCATTTCCCTTTTTGGTTTCACCTGCTGCTACTTAGGGCTAGGCTTTTGACAGCCCTTCTCCTCACCCCCTTCACCCCTTCCGCTGAGTCTTTAGCAGCCCAGTTGACATAGGAGTTCTATTTCAAAAGCTAAGACAATCCTAACACAAGGGGCCTCTCCATGCCAGCGGCCATGATGAACCCAGGGTCTCTCTGTGTGTGCCCCTCCTCATCTCTATTGGCTAGGTGATAAATGATATTGCCCCTGCCACTGAGCTGCCCAGCTGGCAAAAAGCTATGGGCACTTTAAGTTGTTTGAGTCGCATGCCCAGTTTCTCGACCAGGGCAGAGTTGACCAGGCATCTGGTGCACCTTGAGTCCAAGAGAGCTATTAGACTCCCTTTGCACCCCGAGGATCAAACCACTAGTACTATGGGGATGGTTACTGGGTTGACTGGGTGACTTACCAAGGGATCATTATTGTAGTTTGATTAATTTTCCATTGGGTTGTCCACTGGGTGGTCAGAGTTCTCCCACTATCTTTGGGGGATGATGTGAACTCTATGACTTCTACACACTTTGGGCGGTCTCATGGATTTGTGGAGGGTGGTTTTGCCAATTTTTTGGCAGGATCTTGAGTTGCCTTCTGAGCATGCAGCTCAACAATCAGTAGCTTGGTGCCCCTCCTTCCCACCCCTAAAACAGCCAGTAGATCATTGGTGTGAGATCTGCTTGTATGGCGGCAGTTTCAGAGCCTCTTTCTTTTCAGGGAGGGATCTTCTCCACACAATGGCTCTGTCAATATTTGGATTCAGCCAGGTCAATTTCAACTTCCTCTGCTAACTAGGACCTACCATCAATGGAGGGTGAGGTAGGCTCCTCTGGAAATACAGGTGCTGTAGACCTTGTCGCTTAATCCATCTCGGAAGCATCTGATCAAGATGTCTTCTGGCCAGTCAGTTAGTCGGCAGGCCAAGCTGCAAAACTCCTGGGTATACTCAGCCATTCCCCTGTACCCTTGGCTGATGGTCTTTATGTAGTCTCTGGCTTTGGGATAGGCTAAGGAGTCTTTGAAGCTCTTCTGAAGTGCAGCCATGAAGTGGTTGAAGTTTCTCAACTCTGGGGTGTCATTGTGGAAGGTGACCGTCAATTCAGGAGTCTAGGACCTTTAGGCTCCCACCATTGGCCACACCCACTTCACCTCCAGCCATCTCCCTCAGCTCATTCATAGCCAGGCTTCCTCCTCTGCTGGCCCTCCGCTGGCAATTCTCCCTGGCCAATGAGCCCCTGGCCCCCTACCCCTCACCCTTCGGTCTGGCCTATTCACTCAGACACACTTTGTCCTAGGTGTTTCACTCCACAGGACAAGAAGCCACCATCCAATCAGGGGGCAATGATGACACTGGAAAGGGTGACCGAGGGTGCCGTGAGGGGGATGCTGGTGACAGGTTATAGGAGAGGGCAAGATCTGGGGGGACGCGACAGGCAAATGCTGCTTGCATGCAGCTTCCAGCAGTGTACCCCAGGCACCACCAGAAGCCATGCACAGTTTCCCTGCTGCCCTTCGCCCTGCCAGAAGCCGCATGCAAGCAGTACTTGCCTGCCGTCCCCCCCCCCCAGATCTTGCTCTCTCCTATAAGCTGTCACCAATGCATCCCGCTCACAGCCCCCTTGGTTGCTCTTCCCAGCATAATCGTTGCTGCCTTCCACCACTGGCTGGTGGCTGGAGCGAAACACCTGGGACAAAGGATGTCTGGGTGAATGGGCCAGGCCAAAGGGTGGAGGACCAGGGGCCCAGGGAGAATCACTGGGGGAGGGCCAGTAGAGGAGGAAAGCTGGCTGTAAATGGGCTGAGGCGGGGGATTGAAGGTGAAGTGGGTGCGGCCAATGTTGAGAACCTAAAGGTCCCATTCTGCCTCCAATGCCATGGTCACGAAGCACACCTTAGCCCAGGGGTGTCAAACCTGCAACATCACGCAACATGTCGTGACTTTTTTTCCATTGCCGGCAATGGGGTAGGCACGATTTCGGCATGACGCATCTGGCCTGCGGGCCGGCAGTTTGACACCCCTGCCTTAGTCCCTTCAGTGGCTATTTCTGGATCATATTCTTGCATGTATGTCCAAACCTGCGCCAGGAAGAACCCCAATTGCTTGGGGTCTCCACTGAACTTTACTCCCAGAGCTGGTGTCTTGCATCCTCTCCACCTTGCTGGCACTACTCCTGCATCCTGTGCAGTCTGGGCTGCAGAGCCAGGTGCTGGGGCAGTTGCTGCTGCTGGGAAGCTTGCTGCTACTGGCATCACAGTGGCAGAGGTAATTGCCCCATTACTTGCCATGGCTGGTCAGTGGGATGTGCCACCCAGGCTAGGGCTTCCCATGCTTTGAAGTTACCAAAAGTCCCCCTCAGGAACTTTCTGACATGCTCCAGCTCCAGTCCTCTCGCTCCAGCTCACCTGTGCTTGATTCTTCCTCCAGTTCTTCCAGCTCCACCTGCGTCTCTCACCGGCAGCTACCATGGCCCCCATGAGCAAATGTCACTCGCATGGGTTTGTCTTCCTACTCTTCCTTTTTTACGACCCTGAGGGACCATTCGGGTCCCAGCCACTCGGATAGATCCAGCCCTCCAGGAGGGGGTTTCAAGGATGTCTCTCCCCAGGCTTTGATCTCTTCTTGGTTGCTCTGACATCATTTGCATGGTCCCCATGATAGAGGCGTTTTCCTCTCTGGGTTGATCACAACTTCAGAGCTAGCCTAACGTCAGACCTGCCCAATCTGATCCCTTAGGAAAGAAAGACCCTCGACTTCATTTGATTAAAGTAAAAGGGTCTTTTACTTTAGGTGTTAGCTGCAGTAAATTCAGGCTAGCTCTGAATTTTCCTGTGCTCACAAGATACAGAAAGGTTCACCTGCAACCCATCCCTAACCTGTGACCAGTGTTTCCAGCGAAAATATTTTGAGAATGCTGAGTTGTTTGGGGTAATCCACATATTTTCTCAGGGTGCCTGGCCTTGGGATGCTGGTACAAACTGGATCCAGACTGCTCTGGTCTTCCCCCCCCTCCCTATTTCCCATCATGTACACGCATAGCTTTATTGCCCTTCCATCCTCCCACCCCTTCAGCCTTTGATGGCAGGATGCTTGTGAGGTGCCAAGCCTTACCTCATCGGCACTCATACTTTGCAGGGCCTCTCAGCCATCAGAGTGAAGACAGATAGAAGAAAATGGAATTACCTCTGAGGGATCATGAACCCACTGGCCATCTACAAAGAACTTGTATTGGTGTTCACCTTCAGGAAGATCCAGAATAGCAACAAAGTCATTATGGCTGAAAGGAGAGTGATCCACAGTGAGAAAACACAGCACATATATACATGCAAGAAAGTGGCCTATCTTGACTCTTTTGCCTGGTTTGGATAAAATCAATGAGACAGACTCAGCCATAGACAAACTCAGCCAAAAGAAAAGATGAAGATTGGTTTAAGCAGCTTCAACTGTTTCAAAAGGAATATGCACAGCTACTTCATGAAAGTTTCCATGAATGAACTTAAAGGAGACCTACCAAACTGGTGAAAATGGAAATATTCACTTTCTGGACTATGAGGACAATTATGCAGTGGACCACTCAGCCTCCTGAAGTTATAGGTGCTTTCAAGAAAAGACTGGGTGGCCTTTTCTCCAAGATAGAATGAGGATTCTTGCAGTGGGAAGGCAGTTGGATTAGATGACCTCCAAGATTCCCTCCAATCCTATGGAGCTGATTTAAACAGAGTTTCTCAAGAAATAAATTGTAAACAGAGAAAGTAACCAAATAATCCCTTTAGAATGAGATGTGAGTAGGTCAACTGAGTCTGGGCCATTCTGGGTAAGGATTGGAAGAGAAATGTAAATGAGACTGGGGATACTCTAACCTGTTAACCAACGACCAATCTGCATTGACCTAGAAATCTCCCAGATGGCCCACTGCAAGGAGTTTGTCTTAACCATCTGAACTCATCTTCAACCCGAAGAAACTATGTCTAGACAGTCCTAATCCAGATGGGAGGACTAACATATCCATCACACAACTTTCTGCCTCATTTACAATCACTTCCCATACTTGTACTTCTTTCCCTACCAATATCAAACAGAGAGCTGGATAGATTTGGGAACAGGAGGACAGAGCAGATTTTCAAAAGACCAGCATTCATCCTTAATTGCTAAACCTTTACACTTCCGACTTGTTCTTATCAACTAGACTCATACTCTATCAACATTTCAAAAATGGGATTCTTCAGGGCAATAGCCTGGTACCATCTTGCAACACACATGGCAATATAAGTTATGGCACTTCAAAAGAAATACTAAGCCAAAGATGATGTTCATCAATTTCTCTATTTATACGTCATATTTTTTATTTCTTTGTAAAGCAGCATCTTTTTAAAAAGAAAAGGAGTCACATAAGAAAGATTCACCACTGTAACTTTCAAATGTTATTGCTTAATAAAAATGATAACACTGTAGAAAATAATTTGAAATGGTATCCATGTTTTTCTCGATTGTGTCAACTTCAAACTGAAGCATACAAAAATGGCACCAGTGCAATAAGGTAAAAAGTACTGACTTGGATGTTGAAATATTGAGAGAGATATTTCATTTGCCACATTTCAAAATTGTTCATGGATATTATTCAAGCTAGTTAATGAAGACAATTTCTCCCTAATTTAGTGAAGTTTGAAACAGCAGTCTAATCACTGCAACATCTATCACTGTTATGCTGCATTCTCTAATTCTGAATCTAGAATGCTGTCAAAGTGCCAGTACATACAGAGGCATTCCATTTTTTAGAAGGAATCTGAATATTCCTTTGCTTGTAGAATCACTATGTATCAACTATATCTTTGTATCACACAGTTCTTCTGTGTGAGAACACAGGGCTGTTTCCTTGCAGAATACTGGAAACATACCTATTTTCTGGCTGTAAGGATTTGCTGCTGGGGACACTAACAAGATGTTTGAAAGGGGGAGAGAATGAAAAAAAAACCAAGTTGGTCTATGGAGACAAAATCTGACAAAACATTCAACACTTTTCACATAGCATTAGTTTTAGAGCCAGAAAGTTAATTTGGAGCTTACAGGTTCTCTTATCTATGTAGAGCTGTATTGTAAGCAGCCTGGAGTCACCTTATAGGGAAAATGGGTGGCATAAAAGTTTAATAAATAAAATTTTTAAATAGGGACAATTTTTAATGATTTTAAACAAGACACAGCTACAAATATTTGGTTTTTAATTGGCTTTTATAGGGAAATGTTTTGTATTGTTTTTAATATGCTGTGAGCCGCCCTGAGTCCCATGGAGGAGAAGGGCGGCATATAAGTCTTATTATAAATAAATAAATAAATAAATAAAATAAAATGAAATAAAATAGACAAGTCAGAGTGAAAGATACTGAGTTCCTTTGTGGTGGATAATAGAAATTGTATTTGACTTTGTGGAACCTAATATTGTCCTGTAAGCCAATAGAGAACTATAGCTCTATTTTCCCCTTATTCTCAACAAAAATACCCTTATCCTGACCTGATGTTAAGATGAAATAGATTAAAATCTCATTTAAGCATTTTTTTAGAAAAGAGATTGATATATAATTAATGTTCATAATTTGCTGCTTTATAAGCTAGCCTAGTCTAGTTTCTGTGAGATTCTTGGAGCCCACAATGAATAACAGTATGGAAGATGATTCAGGCATACTTTTTTCATATAGACATGTTTTTCATTCAGATCCAGAATGCATGGATCTGCTCCATTAAAAAGATGTTCTTTTATATTCAGGAATATAAAAGGAATCCTCCATTTCTGATACCTGATTCATTTCAGAATTTCCACATGAAAACAGTGCATTTTAGCCTTAGTTGGGCTTAAAGTATTTAACCAATGCTTCTTGCCCTGTGTAGAATAAGAGTCAAACAAGGCCCCCTCTCCATAAAAAATGTTGAGCAAAGTTTTTTTTTATAAAAATCACACACCACCCTGTTTCACCTCTTAATGAGAGGAATCTTAGCACTCCAATTGTTGAAAGAACCTGAAATGAAAACTTCTTTGCCTCCATCTGTCCAGCGGATAACCGTGGGACGAGCCTGCTGGGATGGTTTAACTGACTCATCCAAGTCATGGTGCCATGATACTAACTCTTTTTCTCCAGGAAGCTGTAGAAAGAGGGCAAGAGTTATATCTTGTCTAAGTCTTCCTGAAAACTGGAATCCTATTTCCTAGCTTTAGGAATAATCAAGTGATGAGTGAGCACTTTTCCAAGTTATTTTAAGTATTATAAAGAAGAGAAATCTAGAGAATTGCCTAAGGGCCATAAAATGGCCAATTATGTCATAAATCATTATTATAATAAAAACCATAACTGTGTATATCAAAACAAGTGCTAACGTTTGAAAATCATAAAAAACATAATCTAAATACTGTACCTTAGATTCATGGGTGCTGAAGATGTTGGGGTCGTCAGTGCTGCCAACCATGATCTTGTGTGAATGATCCTTGGCATGGTGGATGGCTCCCTCTGAGCGGTGAATCTTGGAACTGTGGCGTTCGCCTGACATCCTTTCACTTGTAGTGTTCCCCATGGCTCCACTGCAAGAAGGCAGCAAAAGAAAAGAATTAGGGCCATTTACAATTGTCACAGACATAATGTAGGCTTGTATTTCCAAAGCCAGAGAGGAGTACTGCATTTTCTTACAGGTGGTGGGTAGACAATAAGTTCCTTCAGCCATGAGAAGGAATGCAAAAAATAAAATGAAATACAGCAATCAACAGACTTGCAAAATCAGTAGCAGAATTGCAAAATTCATGACAATAATAAAGTCATTGAGCAGGAAGGAGACTATTAAGCAGCAAATTTAATCCCTATTCACTCCAGGAATCCAAATTAAAATATTCCATTATTAAAATATTTCATTATCTCTGAATCCTTAAAGGGTGTTGCTCAAGTCCATGCCAGCATTTCACCAATCAATTAACTCAGACTATGCTCCTTGAACCAAATCTGAGACTTACTTATGTAACCAGACATTCAATTCCACTATTCTTAGAACAGAATAGAACAGAATGGAAAGGAATTATAAGGTTGGAAGAGACTTTGGAGGTCTTCCAATCCAATCTCCTGCCAAAGGCAGGAGACCATATATCATCCCAGACAAATGGACAATTGTTTTCTCAAAAACCTCCAGCAATGGGGCACCCACAACTCTGGGAGGCAAGCTGTTCCACTGATTAATTGTTGTTACTGTCAGGAAATTTCTTCTTAGTTACAAGTTAGATCTCTCTTTAATAAACTTCCACCCATTGCTTCTTATCCTATCCCCCAGGTTCTTTGGAGAATAGGTCCACCTCCTTTTGTGTGATAGCACAGGTGCTATCATGTAATCTCTAATCATCCTCTTCATTAGGCTAGACACAGTTAGTTTCCTGAACTATTCATTTAGCCTCTAGACTCATCATCTTTGTTGGTCTTTGCTGCACTTTCTAGGATCTCAACATTTTTTTTGATTGGATACAATATTCCAGATGTGGCTTCACTAGTGCAGTGTAAAGAGGTATTATCACTTCTCATGATCTTGAGGCTATCCCTCTATTGATGGAGCCTAGAACATTTTTGGCAGCTGTAGCACACTGCTGGCTTATACTACTAGGACATCCCGATTCCTCTCACAGTTATTATGGTTGAGCCAAGTACCGACTATTCTATACCTTTGCATTTGGTTTTTCCTGCCTAAGTACAGGACCTTTTCTCATCACCAAACTGCATCTTGTTAGCTAGGCCCAATGCTCAAGTCTGTCAAGATCCTTCTGATTCTTGAGTCTATCTTCCAAAGTGGTAGCAATTCCTCCCAGCTTTCTGTCATCTGCTAATTTGGTGAGTACCTCCTTTATCCACTCATCTAGATAATGTATGAAGATATTGAAGAGTACTGGGCCCAAGACAGAACCTTGAAGTGCCCTGCACATTCCCACCATGTAGATGTAGTTCCATTGAAAACCATGCACTGAGTGCAGTTGGTCAACCAACTGTGAATCCATCTGGTGGTGGTACTGTCTATCCCATATTGTTCTATCTTATCTAGAAATAAGCTGTGGTCTACTTTGTTGAATGCTTTAATTAAGTTTAAGTAAACTACTGAATGTCAACAGATTTCCTTGATCCATTAATTTAGTTACTTTCTCAAAGAAGGCAATAAAGTTTGTTTGGCACAATTTGTTTTTAACAAACCCATGCTGGCTTCTATTAATTACCTTGTTCATTTCTAGCTACTCGCAAATCCGCTGCTTATTTTTCTCTAGGATTTTCCCAGGTATTGATGTCAAGCTGATTAGTCTGCAGTTTCCTGGTTGCACTTTCCCCCCCATTTTTGAAAACTGGAACATCACCTCTTTTCCAATCCTCTGGCAGTTCACCTGTGCTCCAGGAGCTCTGAAAGGTTTTGTTCAGTGGTTCCAAGATCCCATCTGCCAGCTCCTTCAGAACCTTCTATTTGTATTTTATTTCTATTCCTAGGGATGTCTTAGTGCAGGGCTTTTTAACTGGTGGCACCTGGCAGGTGGTACATGACCATCCTAGACAAAATGTAGCAGGGGAGGGGAGTGAGCTGAAGTGGCGGCAGCACCACAGAAGCCTGAGGGAGAGACAGCTGGAGCTGCAGGGGAAAAAAGACAACAGGGAAAGAGAAAAAGCTGTGGAAGGAAAGCCCAGCAGGCAGGGAGGAAAAAGAGAGAGGGAAGAAGAAGCTGTATCAAGATAGCCCAGCAGGCAGGGGGGAAGAAAAGACAGGGAAGAAGAAGCTGTGGAAGGAGAGCTTAGCAGGCAGAGAGGAAGAAGAAACAGGGAAGAAGAAGCTGTGGAAGGAGAGCCCAGCAGGAAGGGGTTCAGCAAAGGAACTGCCACCGAAGAAATTAAAACCAGTACTTTTTTCCTTTTTTTAAATGGCTTATAACATATTAGATTATAGAACAGTGGTTCTCAACCTTCCTAATGCCGCGACCCTTTAATACAGTTCCTCGTGTTGTGGTGACCCCCAACCATAAAATTATTTTCGTTGCTACTTCATAACTGTAATTTTGCTACTGTTATGAATCGTAATGGAAATATCTGATATGCAGGATGTATTTTCATTGTTACGAATTGAACATAATTAAAGCATAGTGATTATGCTTTCCTCTCTTTCTCTCTCCTCTTTCCTCTCCCTTTCTTTCCTCTCCCTCTCTTTCTCTCTTCCCTCTCTTTCTCTCTTTCTCTCCCTCTTTCTCTCTTCCCTCTTTCTCTTTCCCCTCTTTCTCTCTTTCCTCTCTCTCTCTCTCTCTTTCCTCTCCCTCTCTCTTTCTCTTTCCTCTCCCTCTCTTTCTCTCTTCCTTCTTTCTCTTTCCTCTCTTTCTCTTTCCTGTCCCTCTCTTTCTCTCTTCCCTCTTTCTCTCTTTCCTCTCTTTCTCTCTATCTATCCTCTCTCTCTTTCTTTCCTTTCTCTCTTTCTTCTCTTTCTCTTCCTCTCTTTCTATTTCTTCTCCCTCTCTTTCTCTCTTCCCTCTTTCTCTTTCCTCTCTTTCTCTCTTTCCTCTCTCTCTCTTTCTCTTTCCTCTCTTTCTCTTTCCTCTCCCTTTCTCTCTTCCCTCTTTCTCTCTTTCCTATCTTTCTCTCTATCTTTCCTCTCTCTTTCTTTCCTCTTTCTCTTTCTCTCTATCTTTCCTCTCTCTCTTTCTCTTTCCTCTCCCTCTCTTTCCTCTCCCTCTTTCTCTTTCCTCTTTCTCTCTTTCTCTATGTCCTCTCTCTCTCTTTCTCTCTTTCCTCTCCCTCTCTCCCTTTCTCTTTCCTCTCCCTCTTTCTCTCTTCGCTCTTTCTCTTCCCTCTCTTTGTGTTTCTATCTTTCCTCTCCCTCTCTCCCTTTCTCTCTTTCCCCTCTCTCTTTCTCTCTTCCCTCTTTCTCTTTCCTCTTTCTCTTTCTCTCTTTCCTCTCCCTCTCTCCCTCTCTCTCTCTCCTCTCTCTCTCTCTCTCTCTCTCTCTCTCTCTCTCTCTCTCTCTCTCTCTCTCTCTCTCTCTCTCTCTCTCTCTCTCTCTCTCTCCTCTCTCCCCTCAATATCTCAGGTTTCCCCTTTCAGTGACTCTGGGCAGGTTAGAATTCAAAGATGTATTACAATTAAAAATACTAAAAACTTTTTAAAAGAGTAAAAACAGCAAAATCAATAAAAACAACAGAAGCATCCAAATTAAGTGACCACGCTGGAATAACGCCCATAATAATTGGGCCATGAGGCGCAACTTCCCCCCAGGAGGCAGAAAGAATTCAGGCAAGCGGCATTTCGGAGCCGCGCAAGTCAGCCCGGGGCTCATTCGGGCCCTCCCGGGCACAATTAGGGCCGTTCCACAAAGTCCCAGCCGCCTGACTCATGGAGGAAGCCGGCCGGGAGCCCACAATTAGCGGGCCCGCCAGGAGGCAGCTGACGTGGACATCCCCACGGCGGTCAGGCGGCCCCCGAGCCGGACGAGATTCCTGGCCAGCCGGCCATGGGGCGGGAACGGCTCCCTCACCGGGGCTGTTCAGCCTTCCCGGCCAGCCAGTTGGCCAGGCCTTTCCAGGGCCAAATCCTGCCGAGTTCTGCCTGCCGCAGGAGGGCGAGCCAGGCCAGGCTGGGCAACGGGAAAGGAGGCGCGCTGCGATTTGCACAACCCCAGTCCCGGTCCAGAGGAGTGCCCTCACCCCAGTGGATGGGGGAATGGGAGCGGGAAGCCCCTTCCCATGCCTGGAAAGCAGCACTTCCTCTCCTGCTCCGGGCGTGGGAAAATGGGCAGAGGTCCCGGGAAGGCCAAGCGTGGGGGGGCAGGAGGCAGCAGAAGGCACTGAAAGGCGCCCGGGGTACCACGGACCGGACCGGGACGCCACCCCCCACCACCACCGGGACCGAAGCAATGCCGCCGCCCCAGCCAGGACTGCCGCCCAGCCCAGGGAGACACGTGGCCGGCTCGCGGCTCAGGAACCAATGCCCCTGCCAGCCGCCAGCTGCCGCCCCCACTGGGACCGAAGCGATGCCGCCGCCCCAGCCGGGACTGCTGCCCGGCCCGGGAGACACATGGCTGGCACAGTGGCCCAGGGACGGCCCAGAAACCAATGCCCCTGCTGGCCGCCGCCCCAGCCAGGACTGCCACCCGGCCCAGGGACACGTGTGGCAGGCTCAGCGGCCCGGGAACTGCCCAGGAAGCCCCTGCCGGCCCACGGCCCCGCCGGCCACTGCCCCCGCCGGGACCGAAGCGATGCCGCCGCCCCAGCCGGGCCTGCCACCCAGCCCGGGGAGACATGTGGCCAGCTCAGCGGCCTGGGGATAGCCCAGAAACCAATGCCCCCGCCGGCCGCCGGCCCAGCCGGGACTGCCGCCCGGCCCGGGGAGACGCATGGCTGGCTCAGCTGCCCCTCCGCCTGGTGCAGGTAAGCCAGGGGGGCGCACTACCTGCCCCGAGGCCGCTTCACGGGGGTGCTCCACGGACTCAAAGACCCCTCCCTACCCCTGCCACTCACCCTCCGTCTCTGGCTCTGCTGCTGCTTGGCCAACCAGGGCCATGGCTTGCGGGAGGGCTGGCCCGCTCAGCGAAGGCTCTGCCGGGCCACTCCCAGCGGGGATCCCAGGGCTTCCCTGTGCAGTTCCCCAGCCACGTGCACCTCAGATGGGGCCAGCCAGGGAAAGGACCTTCCTGGCCACCCTTCTCCCAGGGGGCAGGGCACCCGGCCGCAGGGCCAATCAGGAGCTCTGTGAGGGGGCAAGTCTGCATGAGAGAGAGAGAGAAAGAGAGAGTGAAGGGAAGCACAAGTGCCTCTCTGTCTCTCTCTCTCTCTCTGTGCAAATGGCGGAGGAGGCTCCGGAGCCGCAGGAGGTTAGGCGACCCCTGTGAAAGGGTTGTTCGACCCCCAAAGGGGTCACGACCCACAGGTTGAGAACCGCTGTTATAGAATAAAATACAAAAATACAAAAGCAAATAGTAGGACACAATGGGGAGGAAGAAGGGAAAAAAAGTGAGGGGGAGAAGGGAAAAAGAAAAGAAAAGGCATTGACTTCCGACTTCCTTTGTTGCAGTAGAATGAAGCATTAACATTGAACCTCAGCTTTTTACTTTTCCATAATAGTATAAGCTAGCCATTTCTATAACAAATAAATCTAATTAGTAAAATAAAAAAAAAATTAGTCAAGTTTTTGACACTTTGCTAAGCACTGGTAGTACTCGAATATTATGTCCTAAAAATGGTAGTATCTGTGAAAAGATTGAAAAGCCCTGTCTTAGTGCATTTTATGAGAAAACAGATAAGGGACCAGGTTTTGCAGCAGCATTTTAATATAAGATTGAAAATTGATAATATTGATTTAATTATTTGGAAAGAGATTCCCATCAGAACTTTGTGTAAGACAAAAGAATACTCCTATTTGATTGAAAAATTTAAACAGAAAAAATATGTCAATGTGATAAATTGGAAGAAACTATTTTACTTTTAAACAGCAAAAAATCAGATTGAATTCTGTTCAGGTGAAAATTAGTTACAAAAACAAAGGAGAAATGGAGGAAATGGAGCGCTCAGAAGGAACTTCACAACACATGTAACAGGAATTAGAAAAATATAATGAACTAGGTGCTACAGGTTTCAGCTTTTCTAAATTTTTGAAGTGGTTATAGATTACAAATATTTAACATGGAATATAACTGGAGCAATGCTCTTCAAAAGGACAAAAATATTTTTCCAAAAAGTTAAAGCAAGAAATTATTTGCCTACAAGATTCTCATATTAGAAAAAATGGTGTAAAATATTTGACCTATAAATACTTGGGAGAATAATTTATTTCAGCAAATATTAAAAAGAGAAATAAAATTGATTTGAATATTAATCCTCAACTAAATCCAAAACTTGCACTAACTGATGAACATGGCAGATTTGTTTGGGGAGAATTTAATTTACATGGAATTAAAACTATGGCGTTGTTTATGCTCCAAATAAGGATAAATGTCATTCTATAAAATTTTTATGAAAACTGGTGTTTGTTGGGAGATTGGAATAATGTGGTTTACCCCCAATTGGACAAGGTTTCTGGGAAAAATATTGAAGAAGGTAATTCAAAGGAGTATTTTTCAGAAAGATAAACTCACCAAGAGTATTTGATCTGGCCTGCAAAGTTTCAGATAACCACCTAGAGGGCAAAAAAGAGACATGGGAAAAAACTTAATTCTTTCCTGTCATCTAATGATCAGGTTTTCATAGCCCAGATCTGGTAGATCTGCTGACAGCCATAATGTGTTGAAAGACATCTTCTTGTTAAGTCCAGCCCAAGAACATCATAGAACAGTAGTGGCAAACCTGTGGCACTTGAAGCCCTCTCTGTGGGCACTCACGCCGCCGTCTCAGACCCACTTCCCCCATGGCCCCCTCCTCACCAGCAGCTCCCCTGGTGGAGAGTCGCCCCCGAGCAGAGCCGGCACGGAGCAATGCAGCCAAGGACATGGCAGCCGGGACAAGACTCCGCCCTTGTGCCCCATTGCACGCAGATGATGCTGCGGGGTGCAGGCGGAGGGCATGGTCACCATGGCGCTGCTGGGCCACCTGGGCAATCTGTGGCGGCCGTGGAGGCAGTGGGTGGCCCTGCAGGCGGGCGGGGCCAGGCTGGGGGTGGAGCAGGAGTGGAGCAGGGGCAGCAGGGCCGGTTTTTGGGCACTCGGTCTCTAAAAGGTTCGCCATCACTGTCATACAACAATCCAACCAAAGTTCAGTACTTTATTTCAGGGGTTACTAACTCCTGGGCTGCAGCCCACTATCAGGCCGTGCCTGTTCAAAACCGGGCTGTGGGAGAAATGGGTAAGTGCATGCACGTGAAGCTCCACTCAAGCTCCATTTGCTTGCACAAGTGGAGCTTCACTGGTGAGTGCAAGCGCCCTCTGCTCGCACAAGTGGAACTTCACATATGAGGGCAAGTGCTGCAGCTCACAAGAGTGGAGCTTCGCGTGTGAATGCAAACACCCTATGCTCGTGCACGAAGCTCCATTCGCGCGAGTGAAGGGTGCACCAAGCTGGAAAGGTTAGGGACGATGCTGTCAGAATCCAATTATATTTCATCTCTAGTTATCAACTATGGAAAACCCCATTTCTGCCTTCTCTGGATTTTGTCATACGATGAAGGGAAGGGGGTGAACAAAGGGGCTTTATGGCCCTCACTTCCTTCAGTATACTTCAAAGGGACTGGATGTGGATATCACCAAAAGGACTAACAATAACAATGGGGCCATTACCTTTCATGTAATCCTTTCTGAAGTCTCTCCTCCCGGCAATGAGGAAAAGGGGGTGGGAATGTAATGCCTGGGNCTGTCGCTGGAAGAAGGGGGTGATGGGGTGGGGCTACTGGGGGATCCCTTAAAACCTTGAATGGGAGAGCTTGGACCCCAAGTCCTGTCTAGAATGCCTGCAACCAGCTTTCTCTTAATAAAGATGCCTGTTGGAAGAAATATTCCAAGAGTTCTGTCTTCTTAAGATGCAAAGTGGGGTGGGTCCTTACAGATGCTTTATTTGCTTACACCCCCCAATTGACAGAATCTTGCCAGACTAAAACTTTATTACTCTAAAGGATGGAAGACTGAGTCAACCTTGAGCCAGTCAGGATCAAACTCCTGGTTGTAGCAGAATTAGCCTGTAGTGTGCCACTACGACTCCTAAGACAGCAGTTTACAACCTTTCCCAACCTTTCCAGCTCTGTGGACCAGTAGCAGCAGTGGTGGGGTGGAGGGGATGGTTTCGCACATGCGCATGCCGCTCACACAAATGGAGCTTCCCACGTTCACATGCTGCTTGCATGGCCCAGTTGCCAACAGACTGCAGACTAGTAGCAGTCCGCAGACTGGTAGCAGTCCGTGGATCAGTGGTTGGGGATTTCTGTCCTAAGAAACTAGGCAAGCAGCAATAATATTAATGATATATGTAATAAACTTGAATAAAAATAAAGATCAATTTGTAATTTTAGTAGAGAATGAAAAACCTTTGACAAAATACATAAAAAGTACTAGTACTAAATATACTTGGATTTTCTTTGGAATTCATCGAATGGACCCTACATCTAAAATGAAGGTTAATGGTTAAGTAAGGTTCTCTTACTTTTTCACTATGTAAAGGAACTAGAGAAGGATTCCATTTTCACTCATGCTTTTTAATATCTGCGTAGAACCCTTGGGTTGTGTTATTAGACAACACAGGGAGATCTATGGAGTAGTATGTAACTCAATCTAACACAAATTGGTTCTATTTGCAGATACATTTTTATTTCTAAAACTATTCCAGTGTTGATGCAAAAGATACTGTAGATGCCTTTAATAAAATAAGAGATACTCTATTAATTGATCCAAATTGGAATTGATGCCTATAACTGAACACCCATTTAAGGAATATCAGTTCTATTTTTGTATGGAATACGTTATATATCTAGGTATGCATATACCAACAGATATAACTTAGTTAACAGCATGTAATTATACTAAACCTCTAGTATCTCTGGAAACAATTATATCAGAAATGTATGGCACATAATGTCTAAAAAAAAGATCTGACCCTTTTTCTTATGTTAAATTAACTTTATGGGGAAACTAAATTTTAAAAATTGGGAAAAATATGATATGGAAACATTGGATGGAAGTGGAGATATTGACTTTGGGTCTATTGACAAATGATGATGAATTTCTAACATGTTAAGAGACAATTATCATCTACCAGATGTAACCCAATGGCAAAATATAGTTATGTTAATAACATTGTTTGGGCTAGCATTATTCTTAAGATTCTGAGACACTTGAGATACTAGAACTTCTTAAATCTTTTGACACTAAAAAAACGATTCATTTCTATAGATACTTATTATCAATAAATAAATGATATGGAAATGCTAAGAAATGAATGGATTAAAGAATTAGAGATTTCTATATTGCCGTCTGAGACCGCTGAGTCATGTGATCTCAAGGTCCACTTCGGACAAAATTCCTAGGAATCCGTCCTTGATCTTGCAAAGCTAAGCTTTTCTCGTCCTAACTCTATTTGTGGAGGAAAGGCAGGATATATCTTTCTTTAACCGCAGAATATTTCTCTTATACGATTTTTAAAGAATGAGTTCTAAGGGAACAAAGTGTAACAACTCCTGCAAAGTCCTGCGACCTTCTGAAGAAGCGAGAGGGCAGGCAAGGATCCCATCATGACCATTTCGGGAAGAAGATGCACAAACCGACTACAGTCGCTAGCCTCAATTCCCACTGAAATTCGTGGGATTTAAGGCGCGCCTCAAGGATTCAATATAGCGTTCAAGCACGCTTTCCGTGTCTTATCTTACACATCGGCGCCACCACTCAGTCAAATGAGCGACAGGCAATCGGCGCTGAATTCCCAGATTGACGTCACTTTGAGACGCGACGCCAGGAGACCAGGCAGCAGCCACCTTTTCGAGCTTATGGCGGAGAACTGCCTTTCCTACACTAAAACAGGCGCCGCCTCGGGCTTAGCTTTCGCCCATGAAACCGAGAATTTGTAGCATTTTTACCCTTGTTTCTTCCTTGTCCTCTCTGGTTCCTTCCCCAAGGGCAGAGAACTCACCTGAAGAATTACTCCCACCCGCTCCTGCTTATTCACCGCCGCCTGGTATCAAAATGGCCAGAAATAGAAATCGAAGGGCAGCGCACGCGCAAAGTGCTAGTCTTTTTTTATCTCCGATGCGCTGAACAAAGCATTACCAAAGGGAGATGTGGGCAATGGAAAGAGGGTACTGGGGCGCTTCCTCTTATTAACAGAAATTTCTCCCGAGAAAAGTGTCCCAGGAAGAAGGAAGGTTGCCATTTAGTGTCCTGAATTTTTCAGCTACAATCTGGTAGATCCGGGCAAAAGGTGGTAAGGTTAACGATTGGGAACATAAAGCTCAGGGTAAGAAGCATCTTTCGGTAGCGAATTCTGGCACAGAAATTCTTGTAAAGAGGCGCAGCTGAACTAGTAATCCAGCAAAGCAACTAATCCTCTTGTTCAGCCTAAAGCGTAGAGCACGAAGAAAGAAAACCCTCCTAGCAGGCAAAAACTCTAATCCAATAGCAGAAAAGGTTTTTTTCAGAAGCGAGAGTGGGAAGGAAAAAGTGGCTGCCGCTGAATATAGGGATCTCAAGTCAATCGCTCTTTAAAGATAGAATTATCCCATTTGAAGTGCAAAGTCTGCTGTTATCCACTAAGCATTTTTGCAAATCTCCTTATCAGGCCAGGCCAGAAGATTGGTTTTGTACCTGGTAACTGCAGCAGACTTGTTTGCACCAAAATGTGAAATACCCACAATGGAGGAGTGGATTGTGAAGATGGCAGAATTTTCAGAAATGGCAAAATTGACCTATTTGCTCAGGAATAAAACAATATGTACTTTTATAAAAGACTGGAAACTTTTATGGACTTTCTGTTGAACATGAAAAAAAGGAAAATGGTGATTTTTGGATTCACAGATTAAAAGAGGTTGAATATATCTAAAAGAAAGCTGTTCTCTTCCTTTGGAACATTCTTCCTGCAAAAATAAAGGCAGCCCCTTCTTGCTATTAGAAGGCTCTGAAAACATAATTCTCTTAATGGGCCAGGGTATTTCAGGTTGATTTGGAGCTGGTCAAGTGGCTTGTGTTTGTTACCACTGTGTTTTCCTGAAAATAAGACCCGTTCTTATATTTGGGGGGGGGGCTCCAAAAGAGGCATTTTGGGGGGATGTCTTATTTTGTTCACATATAGGAGGTGGTGAGCACGGGAGCCAACAGGAGTGGGAGCGGCCTCTGCCCACCTTGCTTGCTGGCCTTGCTGCGACTGGGACACTTCTCAGCCATGACGGGCATGGTGCTGGCCGCTGAGCGGTTGCCTGTGCTGCTACTGGCCTTGCAGGGGGTCTTTGCCCTCCTGGCCGCTCTGCTCTCAGCTGCCCTGCCTGTGTGTGGGAGGGGATGCACGGCACAACTTGGCGTAGTCACGGGATTGGCAATGTGGGTAAAGCAACTTCGAGCTCGGCTGGACTCCCCTCTCATTCCATCTCTCGTGCCTGGAGGTGTTCTTGGTAGCTCCGCCATACGTGTGGCACCAGGCAACTTTGTCATACGTGTGGCACCAGGCAACTTTGTCACCACTCTCTTCTGCAGCTCACCTTGTGACTCTGGAGTAGGCAGCGACCATGGTTTGCATTCCGTGTAGTAGAGGCTGCTGGATAAACTAAAGAAAATTAAACTGTCAGTGAAAATCCAGCAGCGGGGATCACGTATGGGGAATCTGCACCGCCTGCCTCCCCCTGTACCTCTGCCTGCGGGCTCGGCCTCCTAAACCTCACTTCTACCCAGCTGATTGAGCAAAGTGAAGGCATGGGAGGAGGCAGGCAATGCAGATTCCCCGTATCTGAGACGGGGTTTTTTCCCCCGCTGCTGGATTTTTTCTGCCAGAATGTTTAACTTTTACGTTTATTTGATGCAGAATGCGGATTCTCCTCGTTCAGCAAGACTGAAAAAAAGCTTTGGAGGAACCTTCCCACAATTCTGCAGCTGCTGCTGCTCCCAATTTTCCAAAGGGTCATCTCTACAGGGGATCTCCCTCCCCCCTGCGATGCCCCCCCTCCCCAAAGTTGTGCTTGCAAGCAGATGCCCTGTTTCAGTTCCTGAGCAGCAGCAGCGCCCGGCACTCCTGCCACCTCCGCCATGAGTTTTCATGCCAGGGTTTGGGTCATGATTACAGCCCCTGCTCTTTCTGCCATAAGAAGAACTACCACCCAGCTCTTCTCTCTTCCTGAAAGCATTTCTTCACTAACTTGCTTTCCAGCTCCGTCGCGTTTCTCCATCTCCATCACGTTTCTCTGCCACCATGTGCAGGGAAATAAAAGAAGTTTGTGTTCTGACCCAGCCTTTGTGAGTGCTACTCAACAGCTTTACTCATGAGGAAAAAAACCCTTTTATTTTAACAAGGCATTTATGGAATAAACTCCAGATAACAAGTCCTTAGATGTTGAAACAAACAGTAGCAGTCTCTGCTCCCACTTGGCGGAGATAAGTCCAAAGTCTCTGAGTTCCCAGCAGGAAGGCTCAATTAGCAATTCAACCCAAACACAAAGAAAGCCAACAAACCTGGCAAAGAATTGGCAAAGAATCCTGGCAAAAGAAATCCGACAGAGGAACAAGATAACGTAGCATGAACAGTTGTCTATGGCAACCGGCGCCTCCCACACCTCTCTTCTTTATAGTCCAGCCAGGGCATGGCTTCTTAGAGTCTCTTACTTTTTCTGGAGAGCCACCCCACCGCCCTCTGTTGTCCTGCTTGCCTCTCCTCTCTGTGCATACGTGCATCTGCGACAGGCCCCAGCTGTTCCTCTTTGCTCAGTTCAGACCCCCAACACAGCTGTTTCTCTGCCTGAGCGTGAGTAGATGGGTCTGGCTCTGCCTCTGGCTCTGAGTCTTCTTGCTCCTCACAGCCTTCCACAGACTCCAGTGGATTCATCTGACTCGGCTGGCAGATCTACTGGCAGTCAAGGAACCACAACAGTTTGTGGGACTACCAGTAAAAAAAAAATTTCAATCAGACCTTACAACTTCTCCCAAAAAAAACCCCTTGCGAAGTTAGAAGGTCTGATTGAACTATTTTTTTTTACCAGTAGCCCCACAAACCTCTTTTGTTTCCCTACAGTGGTGGAGAAACATGACAGAGCTGGAAAGCAGGTTAGTGAAGAAATGCTTTTGGGAAGAGAGAGGAGATGGACGGTGGTGCGCCAAGCTCTCCAGCTCCACAGAGACGTTTTGCGTGGAGCCCTTGAGGTTTTTCATGGAGGATGGATCTACTTCCCGCAGGGCCTGGCCGGGCTGAACTCACACATACCGGTACACTCAGTTTCTTACAAAAATCATAGCAGTAGCTACTGTAGCCTTAGCTGATCAGGAGGAAAATGTGTCTGCTGGATTTTAAGGCAGAAAAGCAAAGAGGGAGGGGGCAATTTCAAAGGTCTGGTGTCAACTCTACACATGAGCATGACTGCAGCCATTTTCCTTCTCATTGTAGGTTGCCACATAGAATGGAGGGAGGGGGGTTGCCCAGATGCTTCGCTAGTCAAAATAATCTTTTGTCCCGTGCGAATCAAGGTCATCAGCGGCTCCCGAGACTAGGGACTGGGCGTTTCATAAAAAGCCCACTAAATAATCATATTGGGGAACATAGTTACATAGTTTTTGTGGATGGGACTTTTACGTTTGTATTGGGGAATTGTTACGTGTGTATCCAGACTTGGTTTCACTCTTGATTGTGCTGATACTTTGTAACTAATAAACATATTCTTTGAGGAATTTACATGCCTTGGAATTCTGATTTATTCATCTCTGTCTGTTGGAACCATGACATTAAACCAAGTCTGGATACACACATAACAATTCCCCAACAAACGTAAAAGTCCCACCCACAAAAGCTATGTAAGCAACTACATTCCCCAGTATGATTATTTGGCAGGCTTTTTATGAAATGCTCGGGAGCCACCGATGAACTTGGTTCCAATGGGACAAAAGATTATTTTGACTAGTGAAGCACCTGGGCAACCCCCCTCCCTTCATTCTATGTGGCAACCTAGAATGAGAAGGGAAATGGCTGCAGCCATGCTCATTTGTAGAGTTGACAGTAAACCAAGTCTCATAAAACTTTGTTTTCTTGGGGTGCTGGGCCGTGACCACTTTACCACTCTCACTTTTGGGAGAGTGGTAAAGACTCAGCAAAGATTCAAAATGGAGGAGAAGAGTGAAACCACTACTAGCTGCAATGAAACTCCGGCTGTCGGAGCATAGACTGGCGCTCCAGCCACCACGTAGGCGTCACTGGCAGGGGCTCGGCCAAAGGCCAGATTAATACAACCTGGGAAACTGGTACTGCAAGAAGGAGCTACAATCCTGGCAGACCTCTATCAAGCCGAGGCTGCCCCTCAGTGCAAGAGGGGCAGTAACCACTGGAGAGGAGCTACTATTGCTACCATCCCAGGGTTCTTCATCTGTGGATAGCAAGAAAGGAAAAGGATCGATGGGATGGGACAACTCCAGAGAGTGGAGGTTTCAGTCCGCAGTCCACAGCCCCTCACTTGAACAGCTGAAGGAGAAGTTCAGCAGACTAGAGGTGAAGAATAAGATTCCTATTGCACAGGAGGTAGGTGCCATGGTGGGGGGAATACCAAGAACTATCCATCTCTTCCCCCCCTCACCAGAGCCCCAGCCCAACCACCGGAGCTCATGCCACTTCACCCATCCCCCAGCCAGCTGTGATGTCAAGCCCCGTATCCCAGCCAAGCCCACTGCCATGGCCTTGGGATGCCAGTCCCAGAGCCCAGCCGAGAGAAGTCCGGAGAGTGGTTCGGTCATGCCCCTAGGACCCACAAGCCGCTCAAGCCCAGTAGCAGGTGCAGGCGGCTCCGCCAAGGTTCAAGCCACCTCTCATCAAGTCCACCTTTGATGGGGACCCCGAGAAGCTAACCTTCCTAAACCAGGTGTGGGCTCATTTAGATCACTATGCTTATGCCTACCTGGATGGTGCTATGATGGTGAATGCTGTGGCGGCAAATTTAGAGGGGGAAGCAGCCTACTGGGTGACCAACC